AGCAAAGGAATTGGGTATCCTGCAATGTCTGCTGCAGTTGTTGCAGCTGCTAGGAGTACTCTACGCCCTCCATCTTTGCAAACGCTTCTCGAGGGCACTCCTGAATCTGCAACTGTGCCGTACACATCTTCATCCGGTGCTGATTCCGAAAGCAAAAGTAAATGTACCTTTTCCATGCCTTTGGCTCTCCTTTCCAAATGCTATTTTTTTCAGTAGACTGTCTGTTTTAGTTATGTCTTTGATAAGTCATTATGGTAGGTATAGAATTTAGTTTACATTCTTTTTACAAATCGATACTCATGGTTTCCTTTTGAGAACTGTCTTAGACTGACACTATAAATTGACAGTGAGTGTAACAGATTAAGGTATCAGAGGAGGCTAGTTTCACTTTGGAGAATTTTAGGATTGGGAGATTTTAGGGAACTCTAAGAAAGATCCCTAGTGTACTGGTTCTGGTAGTTTTTGTTGCTGGAATTCTCTGTCAATTAGCATTGCTGAGTTACAGAGATAAATAAAGGGAATCAATTTCTGTTCTTAACAGTCTGGTTTTGGGTGGTCAATCTCGCTTTTATTGAAATTATCTTGGATGAATCAAAGGACGAATTTTTGTTTGGCAGCTGTTGATATTAATTGTCTTATGTACTTTTTTTAGCTGCCGATAAAAGTTCAATAACTCGGAAGCTGAAGCATGATGTTATAGAAGGAGTCAATCAACTGATCCATGAGATTGCTGGTTGTCATGAGCAGATCGCTGAGCAAGCTATAGAGCATATACATCAAAAGTACTTTTTGTCTCTATGCCATTAATTTTCTGTAACATGCAATAGATGGGAACCAAAATGTTTGTTTATCAGTGTTGATTTTTTTGCCTAAACTCCTTTGTCAGTGAGGTGATTCTAACCCTAGGTAGCTCAAGAACTGTGCTTGAGTTTCTGTGTGCGGCAAAGGAGAAAAAAAGATCATTTCGTGTATTTGTCGCCGAAGGTGCACCAAGGTTTGGTGTCTCCTCTATCCTATATATTCTTCCTTAATTCTTAGCGTTTTCTGGTTTGCCGAACATTTTCTATTTCCATCTAACTTTGCTGTATTCTAATTCTATTATACTAGGTATCAGGGCCATCTATTAGCAAAAGAATTGGTAGCTAGAGGTTTACAGACCACGGTGATCACCGACTCTGCAGTGTTTGCAATGATATCTCGAGTGAATATGGTACAAGTTCAAGCTTGCCTGATTCTATGTTTTCTTGTACTTGGCTTCTAAAAATAGATTACAAAATGATGTGATAATGCACAGGTTATAATTGGAGCTCATGCAGTGATGGCTAATGGTGGGGTTATAGGACCTGTTGGAGTCAACATGGCTGCTCTTGCAGCACAAAAGCACGCAGTCCCATTTGTGGTTCTAGCCGGCAGTCACAAGGTTGGTTTCTGAGCTGTGCTTTTTCCTCAAACCATTGATTGCTCTCGTGAACCTCAAAACTTGACTCCGGTTCGTTTAATGTAATAAACAGTTATGCCCACTCTATCCTCACAATCCGGAGGTATTACTGAATGAGCTGAGATCTCCTTCAGAACTGTTGGATTTTGGTGAATTCTCTGATTGCATGGATTTTGGAGTGGGTTCTGGGTATCCCCTTCTTCAAGTTGTCAACCCAACATTTGATTATGTCCCACCAAACCTTGTTAGTCTCTTTATAACCGACACGTAAGTCTCGTATATACTCTTTGTGTTTTCTAGTTACTGTGTATTTATAGATGGGTCCATTTCCATGGCGTTACCTTGTTTTCTATTTTGGTTACAGAGGAGGGCACAACCCATCTTACATGTACCGTCTGATTGCCGACTATTACTCTGCTGATGATTTGGTGATGTAGCAAATAAAGGACTAGTTTCCGGTCACTTGACCACACAAGACTCCGTACTTGGTCGGTCATTCACAATTGGAGGATATATGTACATTGCAGAAAACAGTTGCTCAAGGATTGTGAATGAGAAAGAGAAAACAGTTTATTTTTGCCGTGTCTCATTTACCTCAGTCCCAATGGTCTCAATTGTTACACTTGACAAGCTTTTCCTCAACACTAAAACATTTTCTTTATTTTCTCTTTTGTATTTGCCAAGGTTAGTGGTTACTTTTACCCAA